TGTCATGTTTTAGAGGCAGAGTTAACGAATGAGTTACAAGGTGATCCCTCCAACCGCTAGTAAACCGATTATTTTGTGAAACTAGTGTTTGGCCGCTTAACTCTTGTGGGAGAAAGGCGGTTTATTTGTTCTCCTTAGCTGAGAGTATGTAAGTCGGTCGGTCGGTCGGTCGGTCGGTCAGTGTGTTGGTTAAAAGCCCATTTTTAACACTGTTAGGTTATTAAAGCTGCTAGACCTTCAAATTTAACATCAATCACCGATAAGACTGACTCTTAGCATAAATGAAGTTGAAAAAAATAATTGAACTTTGATTCTCTTCTAACTGGTCTAAACAAGGTCGACGTGGTTGAAAATATGTACTGTTACATTACTTTTTGGGGGGGAGGGGGGGAGGGGGGGGGGTTGTCTCACTAGGCATTTTCTTGCACGTTTTCTAGGGAACTTTTCCTTCACTAGTCACAACCATAGAACTGCAAAGTTCTACCTGCTCATTGTCTAGTTTTGAGAAATTTGACTGTAATTTTTTAAAAAATTAGTTTCAAATGCATTTCTTTAAATATCTTGATAATGACTCCGATTAATCTTACAATTTTGATAGAGCAGATAGAGCATTCGGGTTCAGACCTCAAGGTCTTAGTAACTCAAAAAGGGCAAAAATTGTCAGATACAACTTTTTAATTCTAAGGTAGAGAAGTGTCTGGGCTAAGTGCTTTTCCTAGAATTCTGTGTCTTTTCGCGTAACAAAATAATAATGTTAGTTTCATTTTCCTAGTTCCAGTTGTTGTCAAGAAGCGAGTTATCTTTCAGCTTTTCTTCTTCTTGAATTGAGATATCAGTACACAGTTGAGTCCGTGGCTCCTTTGGTAGCCGTAGGCAACACCTAAGCTGAACAAAAAAATGAATGAATAACGAGTTTACCGACAGGCGTCTGTGGTGTAGCGGTCTGGCACTGCGCCCACCGTCACAAGCCGAAGGCGTGAGTTCGATCCTTGTTTGGGGAAAACGTCTATCGAGTGCTTTTGTCTGTCTGCTTGTATTTTGATTTGGATCCCTATTGGCCGGGACTGGCAATGACAGTTTTAGTTTAGTAGGAATTTACGGCACTTGCAGCACAATAAAGTCACATAAGTGCCGAAGATTAGAGGTGTTACAAGAGAGTAACAAACACAAAAAAGAAGGAGGGGAGATAGAGACGATAGATTTTTTTACAGGAAAGAAGGAGCAAACCACACCAGAGCACTCGCCAACCACCCACTAGGAAAACGTCTATCAAGTATTTTTGTCTGTCTGCTCGTATTTTGGATCCGTATCGGCCGGGACTGGCAATGGCATGAGAGGTCGGAGTAGATACGATTTTGAAAAAAGATGTACATTGCCCTCTGTGGAGAGGCGGATCACACGGTGGAACACATCCTTCAGCAGGGCAGGACACATAGGGCCCGGAGACAGGAAACATGGCCACCCCCACTGACACTACAAGAGAAGCTGTACGGGATGACAGATGAACTGAGCAGGACGACCCAGTATATGACCGATACCGGACTTCAAGTGTTATGCGATGGAGAAGAGGAAGAGGAAGAGGAAGAGGAAGAAGAAGAAGAAGAAGAAGAAGAAGAAGAAGAAGAAGAAGAAGAAGAAGAAGAAGAAGAAGAAGAAC